GGGAGAGAGAGAGAGACTGTGTATCTGTGTGTGTGTGTGTGTGTGTGTGTGTGTGTGTGTGTGTGTGTGTAACTGGTTCTGACTGGCCAGAGAGCCCAATGACTTCTGTTTCTGACTCCCTACTGTGCAGGAATTCCAGGGGCATGTCACCATTCCTGGCTTTTACATAGGTACTGGGATCACACTCAGGGCATCATGCACAGTTGCTTGTACTTCACTCTGTGACATACTCTCCAGCTCCTCCCCTCTCCACCCTTTAAAATAGGATGTCTCACCTTTACATTAAAGTTAGAACATCTGTTAGAATGTGTTTACTTTGTTCCATACTGTGGTTACAGAAATAAAAACTGCAGACTTTGCATGTCTTTTAAGTAGTTAAAAGGGCTATTAAACACAAACCTTCGTAGTCTTCCCACCTCTTTTCTTTAGCCCCCTAGAAGCCTTGATCAGAGATAACTAATTTCATTTTTATTTTTCCAGGACAGCGAGTGAATGTAGAATAAGAGAGAATGTGTAGTTTTAAAGACTGCATACTACTGTTCCCTGTTCTCAATCTCAGAGAGCATGCCATCTTACTGTAGTATGAGTTCCCATCCTTTTGAGTGAGGTCAAGGAGTGGAAAGGCATGATGCATAGGAGCGCTAGTGCTGGGATCGGTTTGCTGAGGTTAAACCTCAGCTCAGTTGTTACTCTGTACAACTGGTTTAATCTCTGATGTTTACATAATGAAACATCATTATGAAACCTGTTTCTGAAAACTGAGAAATAAACAACTTGGTGTTTGTAAAGCATGGTGTCTACCTCACATTAAATACTTGGTGCTGTGCTTCTCATATATTTGAGCTTTGTGTGTAGTTGGTTTCTCTCCTAGTGTGTTGGGGAATCAAACTCAGGATCTTGGTTAGTTGGCTATACTTTCAGCAGCCTTGGTAGTTTGTAAGTCATTTTTATTTAATTGGGTTATTAAATCTATGAATTTATAAATCTCATAACTTGATGTGGAAGTCCCCTCTGTGTGCTGTCATTACCTTTAGTGAATAAGGAAACTGCCTAAGACCGTTGATAGGGCAGAACTTAGATAGGCAGGGAAGACAGAACTGAATGCTGAGAGAAAGAAGGGTGGAGCCAGAGAGACTCCCTGATCCGCCACCAAAGATAGGTGTGCTGAAACTTTGCTGGTAGGCCACGACCTTGTGGTGATACACAGATTAATAGAAATGTGTTAAATTGAGATATAAGAGTTAGCCAATAATAACCTAGAGCTAATGGGCCAAACAGTGATTTAATGAATACAGTTTCTATGTGGTTATTTCAAGGCTAAGCTAGCCAGACCACCGGGACAAACAAGCGGGCCCTCCTACAATTTAGTGCCCAACGTGGCGCCATTCTGTTGTCTGAGATTTTTGTCCTGCCCAGTTTCCCCAGTCGTTAAGTCCCAAAGAAACACACAGAGGTCTATATTAAGTATAAACTGATTGGCCTGTTAGCTCAGGCTTTTTATTAACTCTTATAACTTATTTTAGCCCATTATTCTTGTCCTATGTTAGTTAGCCATGTGGCTCAGTACCTTATTCGGCGAGGCAGTCACATCTTGTTTCTTCTGTGTCTGGGTCACAATTGTAGAATAAGCTTTCCTCTTTCCAGAATTCTCCTGTTCCTACCATCCCACCTCTACTTCCTGCCTGGTTGCCCCACCTATACTTCCTGCCTGGCTACTGGCCAATCAGTTTCTAATTAATGTAGACCTCTTTGTGTTTCTTTGGGACTTAACAACTGCCGGAACTGGGCAGGAGAGAAACCTCAGACAACAATAACTCTATAAACAGTTTTTGTTATAACTCTTAATAGACTGAAATTGTAATACTGCTTTTGATTAAAGGCTAAATCAAAAGCTAGGCTGAAATTATTTTTGTTTAAATGGTTTTTACAAGATGAGTGGGTATTTATTGTAATTTAATTTTTTTATTTTCTAATACTTAAAATTTTTGAGTTTGATGCTTTTTTTTCTGACTAGAATATGTAAAATAGCTTGCCATGCTAGCCATTGGTAACTTGTTGAATCACAAATGCTAAATTCCAATATTTCAATTTTCCAGATTTACTCTTTACTATCTTACTCTTTCTGAAACGCTAAGCGCTGTATAACTTCTGCACTCTCGCATAGTGCAGTAGCCATGGGAAGTACACCGGTAGAGCTTTCTTGAAGAAATGATAAAATGAAAGTGGAGGGGCTTTGTTTTTAAAAAAGAAAACGAATATCAGAAAATGGTGTGTAAACTAGTCTGAGCTAGGATGCTGTTTGTTGGTTTTCATTAGTGTTCCCTCCTCATGGAAGGTTGTCATATATGCAGAGTTTACTACTTTACTTGTTACTGTGAAGCGGTCATTGTCTCTTGTTTAGAGCTAGGGAATGAGCACAAACTTCAGAAACTTTTAAAGAATTATGCAGCAGTAAATCTTTTGTACAAAATGTGCCCCCTCAAATATTAATAAGAGTATGTGACTAACTATAATAGCTCAAAAAATTGAGGAAGGCATAGCAAGTTATAAAGAATTCTCTTATTGGGGCTGGAGAGATGGCTCAGTGGTTAAGAGCACTGGCTGCTCTCCTAGAGGTCCTGAGTTCAATTCCCAGAAACCACATGGTGACTCACAACCATCGCCCTCCTCTGGTGTGTGGGCATACATGGAGGCAGAATTCTGTATACATAATAAATAAATTAAAAAAAAAATTACCTCAAGGACAACATCAAGGATTTTCCTACTCTATCATCGTCTTAATGGTTGTTCTTTTAAGAAAGGGGATATAAGCAAAAAAGTTTAATCATTATTGATGTCACAAAGTCTTGCTGAATCCTGTGTGCTTTGTTGGGTCTCCTGGATTATCTGGGGGCAGTATTTAAATTTATATCAAGAACAAATGCACTGGACTGGGAATGTGACTCATTTGATAGAAGTTTGCCCAGCATGCACACAGCCACACAGCCCTGACTTTTATCTCTGACACCATATAAGCTTGGTACATCTCTAATCCTAGGACTCAGAAGCTGTATCATAATCACAATAATCCCTCAGTACTTAGCAAGCTCAGACTAGCCTGGGCAGCATGAGATTGTCAAAAACAGCAGCTGGCAGCCAGGTGTGGTGGCACATGTCTCTAATCCCAGTACTCGGGATCTCTGTGAGTTTGAGGCCAGCCTGGTCTACAAAGTGAGTTTCAGATTATCTAGGGCTGTTATACAGAGAAACCTTATCTCGAAAACCTAAAACAACAACAACAAAAAACCCAGCTGGCAATGGTTTGAGTGTAGAGACTTTTAAAATTGGTTTCATTTAAAGTATGTAGAGGAGAACATTATAGCCATTGAGAAAAAAATAACTAAGTGTAGGAAGATTTGCTTAATTGACTTCAGAAACAATATGAAAATGTTGAACAAAGTATTTTCTTCCTCCATAATAAACCTCATTTAGAATTACGTTATATCAAGAAGTTGTACATTTTTTGTGCCATACTTAATTTTTATACTATATTTAATTTGTGATTTTGCATATGAGTGTGGTTGCATGTGTAGAATTCAGAGGACAAGTTGTGGGAGTCAGTTTCTCCTTTTCCGCTCTGTAGGTCCCAGGGATCAACCTCCAGTGGTCAGGCTTGGTGGCAAGCACTTTTGCCTGCTTATTAACCACCTTCCCAGTCCATTTCCTTATCATACTTAAAACCTCAAATTTGTGAATTTACAGGTAGGATATGTATCTTAGTAATTGAATACTGTTGTTCTAGCAAGTGGGCAGAGAATGAATGCATGTAGAATAATTGTTGAAGAAGAAGGATGGAAAGAAATATTTAAAGTCAGAACAGCTTATTGAATAGCAGATTTCCACTTGTGCTGGCCGGATGGCATGGCAGTTAAAGGCACTCGCCACCAAGTCTGATGGTTTAGTTTGCCCTCTGGAATCCACGTGATGGAGAGAAGGAATTGACTCCTGCAGATTGTCCTCTGACTTCTACACTTCACCACCGCACCTGCACACATACGTGCTCAAAACACACTCAATTAATTGATTGTAAGATGAACGGTGTGGTAACAAAGTTTTCTCTGTCTCCTCTTAGGTACTGCCCATGACTGGAGGTTACGGTGTGGTGCTGTGGATTTGTACTTCACTTTGTTTGGCCTCAGTAGACCTTCCTGTTTACCCTTGCCAGAGCTCGGGCTTGTTCTTAATCTCAAGGAGAAAAAAGCTGTCTTGAATCCTACCATAATTCCAGAAACTGGAGCAGGCGCCCAGGAATCTGCGAGTAATGCCGGCTGTCATGCACAGCTTGCTGGATTCCAGAACCCTGTGAGTGTCACGGTAGTACAGAAGACAGAGCCTCACTATGTAGCGCCACCTGAGGAGGACAGTGTCTTCTTTGAACCAGTCAGTTCTCTAGCCTCGGGTCACTGCCTTTTTAACCCCCAGCTTGTGTTTGCTTAGCATTTTACAATTCATAAAATGTCACTGTCATCATGTGACTAACCGTAACAGATGTGCTCTGGTCTGCTTGTGTGGTGATGTCAAAGTCTTTTGGACCATAGGGTTTCTTCTCTGCATAGCACAGCATAAACTGCATATAGTCAGCTCATAGAGCTGTTGTGCTTCAGCCTTGTCTGTTTGTATCAATGGCAAACCATTGAATTTGAGATCCTGCCTGTAAGTTGTTATTTCTGCGCAGTTAGAGCTGTGGGGCAGTTCTAAACAGGACAAGCTCCTGGCAAATGGTTTTGAAAAGAAAATAAATATTGAATGAATGGATAATCTGATGATTTGGGAGGAGATGGTACATTACATTTTATAATATTTAAAAATTGTGGTTTTGCCTTTAGAAAACGTAACTCTGCATTATAAATTGCAAGAGTGTGTGAATCATTTCTCCATAAAAGGATTTTTCCAGAAATGATTTTCATACAGATGACAGTTTCTGCCATGCTCCAGCCTTCCATTTTCAGCAGTACTCAGACCAGACTGTTCTCTTGGCTGTTCCCTGCTTCCTTGTGTCTTGACACTTGACACCATGTTATCTGGAATATAAAGTGTGTTTAAGGTTTGGGTTGGGGAGTACTAAGACAAATCCCCTTCTAAATAGCTCTCGGGTAGGAATCCTTTCCCACGTACATTGATATATCCATGAGCACACGGAGAAAATGACATCAGAGGATGCAGCCTTTTAGGGCTGGACCCATGGCTAAGCCACTAAAAGTGTTTACTGCTCTTCCAAACGACTCGAGTTCAGTTTCCATCACCCCTGTCGGGTGGCTCACAGCAGCCTCTGACTGCAGCCCCATGGAATCAGTACCCTTTTCTGACCTCCCGTTACTGCACACATGTGAATATCCCTCATAAACACACAGATACAAACACGTAATTGTGATTTAAAAGGATTAAAAATACATCTTTAAGAAAACATGAGATGGGGGGAAAATCTCTAAAAGTTGACAGACACTTCTGCCCCCATAAAAGACAGGAAAGGGCTAAACATTTTACATCGGTTCCTCTTCACTTTTGGTCACTGGGCATGCTCTACTCTGCGGTTGTCATAGCTGTTCAGCTTTCGGCTGTACTACAAGCTGCTTGTTTCCAGAAATCTATTTTCGATTTTAAGTATTGCCGCAGGATCACGATGTACTAAGTGTGCAACAATATTGTGAACAGGAATGAAGAGCAGGCTGGCCCCCTGGGGGTCCCACTAGAGCCTGGTGAGATGCTGAAGAAGAAGAGGGGGCTAGCAGTGAGGTTAAGCTCGCCATCTGAGTAAGAGATGGAGGTTACCATGTTAGCTATGTAGGACTGTCTGTAGGATTTCCTTAGCAGGAGCATGTCAGAAACACCAAATCATAAAAGAATCCAAGTCTCCTAAAGATTCCATCCAGGTATTTAACTTACTGCTTATTTCTTGACATTTGGGAAAGTGCGTTCCACTATAGCTCACCAGTTCTTCTCACAATACAGGCATGGGCCTTAGTTCCTATTCACAGTAATATCTTACCAGCCGCTTTGGGGGCTGGTCCCCCAATATTTGTTTCAGTGCCTTTTGAAGGAAAGAGACTATTTTTCTTAAAGTTATAATGGGTCTGTTCTTCGGCCTTTCTTCTGCTGTCTTGAAAGATCACGTCTGTACATAAAGTGATGCCATGGATCTCTGTTCTTTTGTTGTGTGTGCTCTAGTTTTCAAGTTCTCAAGATGAGGAGGAGGTTGATATGGATACTGTTCATGATAGTCAGGCCTTCATTTCCCATCATCTGAACATGCTTGAAAGGCCATCTACTCCAGGTAAGGATAATGTACCATGGTCCCAGGGGAGGTGGAGACTGTTGACATATATCCATTCTAAGATCTGCTCATTTATTTCAAATGAGCAGAATAAAAATGGGAAGGCAATATAAAATTCTCAGACTATATCAGTATAATTTACACTGACAAAATAATAAATTGTAGAAAGTACTTTTTGGAGGTCTGACCAGATGGCACAGTGGGTAAAGGCACTTGATATGCAAGCCGGGTGCCCTGAGTTCAATCCTTGGAACCCTGTGAAGGTGGAAGGAGAGAACCGACCTCATAAATCTCTGCCTTCCATCTGCGTATTATGGCATGCGTTTGTGCTTGCGTATGTGAATGCATGTGTACAAACATGCACACACAATAATCAGCTTACAAGTGCTGCTTCTTTTAGTTTGTTGTATTATAGCGGTGGGTCTTGGTGGTCCAAACTCAGGTCCTCATGCCTATGAAACTAGTATATTACTGATTGAGCCATCTCCTCAGCTTAGATTTATTTTTTTTAACATTTTTTCTGTTATGAGTTTGATTTCTTTTTTACCCCCTTGAATACTTTTTCTCTTTTTTTCTGATTATTTAAAATCCTAAGCCAGCTGGTAGTTGTACACGCTTTTAATCCCAACATTTGGGAGGCAGATGTAGGCTGATCTCTTGAGTTCGAGACCAGCCTGGTCTACAGAACAAGTTCCAGGACAGCTAGGGCTACACAGAGACACTCTGTCTTGAGAAAAACAAACAGAAAAGTCAACTCTAGTACTGGTCTGTACTTTTGTAATGGTCTTTATGTTTCCTTTATTATTATGTTAAACTGGCCCCCTGTGTCTTAATGTGTTTTGATTGGAGGTGTGCATCATCAGATGTCACAAGAGCTGTAGCAGCTTGTTCTCAGCCTGTGCTTAATAGGCTGACTTCTGCACTGGGATTGTCAGTCTGGGATTGTCCGATAGTGAGTTATCTTCTTGGAGACAATTGTTGACTCTAAGTTTTCTAGTCCAGTTATCTAGCCTTCCTCTTTAAACTTTTTTGTGTTCTCTCTCTCTCTCTCTCTCTCTCTCTCTCTCTCTCTCTCTCTCTCTCTCTCTCTCTCACACACACACACACACACACACACCCCATTTCCTTTCCCTCTGAACCTTTTATTTTTTCCTACCTGGTTTTTTGGTGGCTGTGCCACTAGCTGATGATACCCCTCCTCAAGCAGCTGTTAGCAATAATTACCACAGAAAGAGATGGGGCTTTACCTCCTTTATGATGGGAATGTGCTGATGTCTGTTCCTGCTGTGTGCCATGGTTACTCTTGATCTTAAATTCTTTCTGCCATCTTTTCTGTCATGTTCTGTGAGTCTCTGGTGAGGGAAGGGATATAGACACTTTATTTTAAGATGAGCCTTTTTCTGCCATTTATTCTTAGCACTTTGGCCAGTTATAAATCTACACTTACCTTCACCTGCTAAGAGCCACAGAAGTCTTCGACTAAACATAAATATTTAGAAGACAGTTTGACATGTTCAACAGTGGTCATGTGTTCCCTGCTTGAGCCCATGTCCTCTCAGTCATCGGCTATGACCAGGTTTATAGTATCAGGTGTGTATTATTATCGCAGAACAGTTGGTTATCCCACAAATAGTCATGCTTTTGTTACCCCAGTAGACATACTTTCCTGACAGGTCAGTTTTGTAGCCCACATGGTCTACAGCTGGGTGAGACTAGGAGTGAGTTCCCTCTCCAGCAGCCTACATTGCACCTTCCTGCACCATAAACTCTGTAAGCAGAGAGGGAGCTTCCAATTCACTTCTACATTTCTTTGTCTCCTGCAACCAAAGCATATGGTGTCATCAGTAAAAAGGTTTGGCTGGCCACCTAGAACAGCGACAAAGCCTGCATTCTTTTTTTTAGGTTTATGTATGTGTGTGTTTATGCAAGTACCCTCCGAAGCCAGAAGAGCATGTTGTCTGATTCCCCTGAGTTGGAGTTAGAAAAGTTGTAAGCCTCTTGACAAGGGTGCTTGTAACTGAACTCACATCCTTCAGAAGCACAGCAAATGCTTTTAACTGCTGAGCCATCCTCCATTCCCATAGCCTTTACTCTTTCGGGGGCATCTGCAGCCTCTGTGACAAACAACTCATGGGGGATGCACTGCACCTGGCATTGGGGTTCTCCTTTGCCCATGGCTTCTAGGAGAGCATTATCTTTCCATGAAAATTCTGTATATGCTCTTCCTTTAAGGATCTTTGTAGTGGTTGTTTGGTCATTATGAGTTATCTTAGTTTGGCATGCTCTGAAGTGTCTATTTCTCTTAGCAATTAAAAAAAAATCCTTGTTGACTTTAGCAGTCATAGTTAGCAGCTGTTTGATTTCAGGGCTTAGTGTGTCTTTCCGTGTTTCCTGGCTCTCGGGTTGCTGATGAGAGTCTGATGTGTTTTTCTTTGTAAATGTGTTACTATCTCCCTTGTCGCTTTTAATATATGTATTACTTTTTTTTTCTTTAAATGCTAGATCTTTCGTATCACTGACTGGCCTTGAACTTGCTGTATAGACAATGATGAATTTCTTATCCTCCTTCCTCTACCTCCTAAGTACTAGAATTATAGATGTTGACTACCCATGTCTGATTTTTTTTATTCTTCACGATAGGGTTTCTCTGTGTAACAGCTCTGGCTGTCCTGGAACTCACTTTGTAAACCAGGGCGGCCTCAAACTCACAAAGATCTGTCTGGGCTTTGCCTCCTGAGTGCTGGGATTAAAGGCCTGCACTGCCATGCCCAGCTTCCATGTCTGGTTTTGTACTAGGTGGGGACCGAATCCAGCGTTCTATACATACTAAGCAAACATGCTGCCAAGCATCTACTTTGTAGAAGTCAGTTTTTGCAGCTTTCGGTGTTTTTTCTTTGCTCTGTATTTTTTAAATTTTCACTGTTACATATCGTGGAAAGATTTCTTCTCCACTCATGTCTAGTTGGGGTTGTAAATACCTCTTGTGTTTGGATGTCTGTTTCTCCAGATTTGAGGTATTTTCTGTTGTAATGTTCTTGAATAGTTTCTGTCTTTAGTATTTTATCTCAGTTCTTCCTTTTAGTCTGTGGATATTTTTCTTAGGTTTTTATCTCTTGATCATATGCAGAGTTCTTCGACATTGCGATTATACTGTTTGGATTTTTTCCCATTCTTATTTATTGGTATTTGAATTCAGCATTTCTTTTGGTATATGTGTGAGTGCGTGCATGTGTGCGTGTGTGTGTATACATTCCACAGTACACAGGTGAAAGTTGTATGACAATTTGAAGAAGTCAGTTCTCTTCCTTCCATCATATGGGTCTCAGGAATTATAGTCAGGGTTTTAGGCTGTGCAGTAGGGTCCTTTTCCTCCGTCAACCTAGTCTTCCGTCCTGACACTCACTCTTCTGTTGTTAGTGGCTTCAGTGTAGTTTGTACTTAATTCATTTTTTTCATTTCTAACATTATTTTCTCAAATCTTAATTTTCTACCTGAATTAATCTTTTACAGTGCTATAGAAGAGACACTTTTTTTATCCGTATCACTCAGTTCCTGTTTTACTTTCTTTGTGTTGTTGAGTTTCTTCATCTACTTTTCATGATATATTTGAAGCCATTCATTTTTGTTAGTTAAAATTTTAAGTATTTCGGTGTCTTGAATTCAGTAGTTGAGGACTTAGGATCTTTTGGGGGAGTCATTGCTTTTCATTTTTCTTGAATTTCTGTGTTGCAATTGATACCTCTTTTGGTCTGGCCACTTCTGGCTTTATTATTCATCAGCCTAGTCTTGAGGGTTCAGTCTCTGTTGCCACTCAGAACAGAAGACAAACTGCTGAACTGTCAACATCAAACTGTAAAAGATGCAGACCAGTGAGATGGGTCAGTGGTTAAGAGCTCCTCATCCAGAAGACCTGGGTTCAATTCCCAGCACCCACATGGCAGCTCACAGCTGTCTTAACTCCCAAGACCTGACACCCTCATACATACCTGCAGGCAAAAATACCAATGCACATTAAGTAAATAAATTAAAAAAGAAAAAAAAAACTGTAAAAACCACAGGAGCACAGGTAAAATCTGTTAAATCCTGCTGATATCACTGATGACCTTGGAAATGAAAATAGGAAACTTTTGTATTATTGTTACCACCTTTGTGTATTTCCCATCCCTCCTGCCCCATGCCTTGTAGAAAGAACTCCCTCCCTTTTTTTTCTGTTGTTTTTTCAAGACAGTTTCTCTGTGTTCCCTGGCTGTCCTGGATTTCACTTTGTAGACCAGGCTGGCCTTGAACTCATAGAAATCCACCTGCCTCTGCCACCCAAGTGCTGGGATTAAGGGCATGAGTCACCAGGCCTGATTTAGATTTTATTATTATTGACTTTCCTTTTCTCGGGTCATCGGTAGGCAGCCTTTAGTCTCCATCTTATATAACAGTCCCAAGGTCCCTTGTAGAACACATTTCTGATTTATTTGATAAGTTTGGGACTAGAGTTTGACCTCTCCTGAATTCTATTACAATCCTGTTCATGTTATAACGCTAAGCTAATTCTTTAAATGCATTTGTAATCCCTACGTTATTTTGATATATTCAGTAAGTTTGATAATTGAAATGTTTTTAGAAAATTTTACAAGCTATATGCAAATGCCAAAAAGCAATAAAATATGGGAAATGGCTTCTGCAACAGAGTATGGGGTCTAGTTTATGTGTTCGGCAAGTCTTTCAAGTTTATTGCCGCTCGACTATGAATTTCCTCAGATGGAGGCAATTGAACAAAGTGTTACTTGTGATCTTTAATAACGTTAATATTGTATTCATTTATGATTAGAGTTTTACTAGGATTAAACTGTTTCTGGTTTTAAAGCTCACACGTGAAACCTGTCAAGCTTTTTTTCTGCTAAATATATTTTCCCTTTCACTTGATCTTTTAGGGCTTTCTAAATATCGACCATCTAGCTCCAGATCTTCCTTAATGCCCCAGCATTCATTAGGCTGTGACATCATACCACCTACAAAACCCCCGTGGAGTATGGAACTGTCCCGAAAGGGAATAGGTACAGTTACTTTTTTTTTTGTTTTATGTTGTTTTTGTCTCAAGCAAATCTAAATTCAGAGTTAATTTATCAATTTAAAAAATACTGAAAAGATAGGAAACTTAGTTTTCTTGCAATACATTGGTTTTATATTTTGTAAGTCTAAAGACTGTTTCAGGTTAGTGTTTATCTGTTTCAAAAGTTGTGTTTCTGTTATAGAAAATTTGTAAGTAACAGCAAGAAGAAAAATAGATTCATTATGCTTTTCCACACACATTGTAATACCTGTGACTGTTTGCTCTTGCCTTACAGTCAGACGTCATTTTCAACACAACCCTTAGAATTGCTATCATTGTGCCTTTATATAACCCACAGAGTAGCCCCTTATTTTTTCACCCAGTGCTCAGGATTGCTGTTTCATTCATGAAAACGCAGTGCAGACATACACAACTTACATTTAAAGTTATTCCATACAGGACTGGCAAGATGGCTCTGTAGTAAAGGTGGCTGCTGCCAAGCCTGATAACCTGGGCTTGATCCCCAGAACCCACATGATGGAAGGAGAGAAGTAAAGTTGTTCTCTGAGCCACACATAAACACACACACACACACACACACACACACACACACACACACACACCACATACACACAGGTTTAAATTATCCTCTAATAATTGGACTTTCCTAAGAAAGGTCAGCTCAGTTGTACTTATTATGTGTTTACTCCTTTACATGTCTTCAGCTTCTTGTGTCTGTTGTTGCTTCCTAAGCAAAGAGTATCCTCTAAATAAACAGCAGCTGTCAGATGCTGTGAACTACCAGGAGGAAGGATTAAGTATTTGAGTGTTGAAGGAAAAGGAGTAAGAAAAAAAGCCACATAAGCAAGTCACTTCTGAAGACTTTCCAAAACTCATTAGTAAACCTTAAACATCTATGGATTTCTGCTTATGTTTCAGTGGGTGGATTTTGCTTGTATAATGTATGTTTTTGTATGATATAAACAGAAGAGTAATGTTTATTGATCTGAGGAAGGAACTTGGGGACCAACTGTGATTAATAGTAGGCTTCAGCCAAAAGCAACAGCTCAAAATGCTTTAGTGTTAAGACCACAGACTACAGCCTTTTGTGAGGTGTGTACATTTATGTAATAGATTCACACAATGTGTTTCAGAGGGAATCCAGCTGGGACTTTGGCTTGCATTTTCAGGAATGAAGGGATTGGCGATTGTTTCTTTGGCTCCTCCTCTCACTTCCTCCTTCCTCACTTCTCTCATTTTGATCTTTTCCTTCTCTCCTTCTCGTGCGTGTGCGTGTGTGTGCGTGTGTTCTAAACTGTGTGTGTGTGTGTGCGTGTGTTCTAAACTGTGTGTGTGTGTGTGTGTGTGTGTGTTCTAAACTGTGTGTGTCTCTGGAGACTGAACACAGGGCTTCTACATGCTGTTCTAAACTTCATCCCTAACCTCTGTGTGCATGTGACTTTGGTTTGGTATGATTTCACTAATTCATTATATCAAATGTTTACTACAAATGGGGAGTTGTCTGCTCAACTAAGTTATAGCTGAAGGAGTTTCAGATTTCTTAACATTAGTCTGAAAATGATTCTTTGACCTTCTCCTTAGCTATGTAAAAGTCAGCTCTGGGTTCCTAGAGTCAAGTCAGTTTCTGTTCCAAAATGAGTTTGAATACATGTGTTTGAATGTTTTAGTGATGCGGCACATCAATGGTATAAAAAGCAAATACTTAACACTTACTGTGTGTGGTTTTATATCATTGTCCTAATATTACTTTGAAAAATACATTTTCAGTTTTATTTTGTAGTTTCTTTATGGTATTGTCCAGTCTCATCATTTGGGAAGATCAGAGGAAGCTAAATACAGGACTAGAGGTGGGAAATAAAGAAGCCTGGAAGTTGAGGTTTAGCTGTTAACAATGTGAGGAAGCAAGAATACACTGGCAATATTAATTTAGAAAAGTATATTTTACAAATGGTAGTATTCTAATGGAGTCTCTGTGTGTGTGTGCATGTGTGTGTGCGCGTGTGCATTTTGAATTTCAAATATAGCTTTTTCCTAACACATCGTTACATTAGATGAAGTAGCTTTTTTAAACACAACAAAAGCTCTTTTATTAACAGATGACAAGCAACAGAAGTATTGACCTACTTCCTTTCTCATTTGTATATTTATTTGTGTGTGCATGCATACTCTTATGTTACAGTGCACATGTAGCCGAGTTTGCAGGCGTCAGTTCTCTCGTGCTATTACTTGTGATCTGGGATGAGACTCAGGTTGTCAGGCTTGTTGGTAAGCACTAAGTGCTGAGCCATTCTGCTGGCTGGTGTAATAGTGTCCTGTAGGAGCAGGATTTTCAGATCCAGCTTCTGGGGTGTCAGACAGTCAGTGTTAGTCTAAACCAAGAAACATCAAATAAGTTGGTTGTGAGGTGGAGTTCCTCTCTGCCTTCTCTCAGAGTTGGGAATGTGTGGGTGCAGGATTAGTTAGGTTCCTGAAAGAGCACAGTGGAAAGAGAAGGGATGGTCTCCCTTAGGTCTACAGACTGTAGATTGAAGAGCACATGTGGGGTTTGGGGCCATATCTAGCTGAGGTCTCTTTTATTCATTGTTGCTAAAACTTAGAAAAAATTTTGCCCTGGTTGCCTAATAATGAATAGACAGCATATAAAAATCCAATGAGTTACAGCTTTTCTCAAAATATCTAAGTGAAAGGCCCTTTAGCGGTGTTCCTTCTTTATGTTGTTTCCCCAGGTTGAGAGCTGTTGATGTAGGTCCCTTGCTTTCTTTGTCTCATGAGGTGAGGCGACTTCTCAAAGACTTAGAGCCAGAAGCAAGATGATTCTCAGGAGTGGGAATGTCTTACAGACCTCATCTAGGAGGGATAGAAACAAAACAGTGCTTTATCAGATGGAGAAGACACACATATTCTGTTAGTAGAGGACAGTGATAAAATGCTTTTAACCACCTCCTCTTCCTTCACACACACTCTCTCTCTCTCTCTCTCTCTCTCTCTCTCTCTCTCTCTCTCTCTCTCTCTCTCTCTCTCTCTCTCTCTTCCGGGGGGCGGGGTGTGGGCAGGTAAAGAAGACATTTCAGAGTTGATTTTGTGGAGGCAATAGGTCCAGCAAGCCATGGGGTAACAAAGGAGCGGTGTAAGCATGGTTCCCTTCGTTACCTTTCCCTCCTCTTTTCCCGCGGGAAAGAGAACAGGCAGGAAAGACTGTGTGGTTCTGTGAGTGACAGAGAGAGCATCCTAGAGCCTCTCCCTCCCAGTGCTGAGCTCCCTCTCCGCCACTGCAAGAGGGGGCAGCAGGACTTTCTCCTAAGCGTTTTAGTGATGGCGGGGATGAAGAGCAGAGGGGAAGGGCGTGAACGTGGAGCAGAAGGAATTCCCTAGTGATTCCTGTGGGGAAGAGGGGAGTCCTGCAGCTGTCTCACCCGGGCTGCTGGATTATGTAATGCCTTCTTGCATAATTCAGAAAACACAATTCTGGTACTTGAAATCTTACTTTGAAATTAAAACAATTTGTTTTAAAAAGCTTGGATGCTTTCCCTAGAGATTTTTCTTTTGGAACTCAACATGAAAAACAGACTGATTTTTTTTTCTTTTTAATCTATAAATTACAATAATGTATTTCAACAGCTTTTTTAAAAATTTGATCTAAAGAATCAAAGAGCAGAATTCCTATCTTCCCTAATAGAAACTACTACAGACTTTGTCTTAAATATGGTCATATACCTCCCTAATGGGAAAGAAGTCAATACAATTAGTAGATTGTTCACTGCTTCTTAGGCATTTGTATCAGATGTACTGCAGAGCTCGCAAGTTGGGCTTTTATTAAATACTTTTATTTGTTTTACAAATGTTAAGTTGACTACAGCTTGCTTGCTTGTTCAAATTTGGTCTTACGGAAGATTTTACATTGGACAGAATAATTCAGAATATCTTTTGTATAACACAAAGTGGAGAAATTATGGTGTTTTGAATTATGTGTTGTCTCTTCCTCTACTATATCTACTATCTAAAATAGAAAGGGCATTTCATATCACCTAGGGGCTTTGTCAGTTTTAGAGTGAATGCCACTGAGCCATGCTGAGCCATCTCCACGGCTCGGGTTGTTATTTTCAGAATGCATTTGTTTAAGCCAGTGCCCCTGAGAATACACATTGCAGTCCTCTTAACATTTATATCTTTAAATTTATATTCTAGTCTACATCTTTTTCTCTCTCCACTCTGCAGTGTATTTAGTAAAGAAATTGCATTTTTATCTAGTTTTAAGGTATATAATTTTTCTGTTTATTTATGGTAGAGTTAACATAATGGAGTTCTTTGTAATTTCTGTAAAATTACAGTCCTACCTAGACATGTAATTAGATTCAGGTTTATCAGTGGTGTATGTTTCCATTTGGAAATATCCACTATCTGATTGACTCTTTTCCAAGGCCAACTATTGTGGATGTTCAGGATCTAAATGTATTAACTCGTTGAAGATTACAAAGTAATGCTATTCTAATTAATCTTTCCATTTTTATTTATAGGGTGGATTAGTTCTATAAAGCTAAATTTGTCTTCATTATTACTCAGTGGTGTGAGCCATATAGGAAATGCCTCTCTCTCTGTACAGTTAATAAATGCATTGGCCAGCATCCTTTAATGGTGATCAGTTTCAGTTCATATTTAGTATCCACAATCAGTATTGAAATTGCTATATCTTTAGACGTCTTTTAAGGTTGACTCCTGAGTTAGTTGGGCAGAACTTGAAGTTCCTTGCTGTTGGATCTAATGCTCTAGGCTCATCTTATGAGTATTCTGCTCAAACTGGAGCCAGCGCTTTGTCACAGGAGCCGTCGATCCTGTCACCCAGAGTCTTAAAGCTAGTTAACTTCTGTGTTCTCTGTGTCAAGAAAAATTCAAGATTTGTAGTCAAGATACCCTAATGTGAGCCATGAGACCTGCAGGCAAAGATGAGTTCACCTTTGAAGTGGTTGTAGGTGTTCCCTAGGAAAGAGTGAAGCGCAAACGTCCATTTAGCCTTTGCCTCTGCTGGGAAGCCCAACTTCGAAGGTAACTGTTGGCTTTTCTGATTCCAAGCAGCTTGGCCGCTGTTTAGGAGTGATGATGAAACCTGTGCAGCTCAGGACCGGAGGCTCTGAAGTGCAGATAGTTTAGACAGTTGCCAGACTCAGTTGATGGAGAATGGCACACAACGAGCAGGGAGCCCAGGTGTTTGTGTGCCGTGAACCTTGTCCCATTCCCTGGCTTTGTCTTGTGAGCTGAGTCTGTTTTTCTGTACTTGTAGCATGAGGACTATACTTAATTCTTTAAGACTGAAATTAAGATCATGTCATAGCACAGTCTCATGTCTGTTAATAGTTTCCTGGGTCAGCAGATTATTAGAACTGAAGGGGGTATTTGAGGACACAGGTTGCTTCTTAGATGAGATTCAGCACATCCTTAGGTTAACAGGACAGTCTCATCTAGAACACGGTATCCTGGTTTTCATTTCTTGTCTTTTGTGCTGACATAACTCCTGTCTTTAAGAACATTTCCTTTCACTGCCTCCCTACTCTCCTGGGTCTTCAGAAGAGGTTCCCTTTACCTATATATTCCCGAAACTGTCTGAACAACTAAATGGGTGTTTCATTTTCACTAAGATACCATTATCAGTAACTGAGATAGTATATTTGTGCATTAGGAATTTTCTAAGTCTGAGTGACTCAGTAAAGTACAGCCTTCCCCCATGGTAGTTTAGGGCAGAATGGTATTTGAAGGAGTTTTTTTTTTTTTTTCATTGGCCAGTATAGATTTTAGTATATAGTGCACAGGTATTCACTATTGTTTAATCATAATACTTGGAAAATACTTACATTCAAAGGATGATTTGCTAACACACTAGCAAATTTTCTATAGGCTAGATGGACCTAAATTAGTTGACTCCTGGCCAAGATGCTGGCAATTCTGTTGAACTTATTGGCTGTTGTATTTGGATACTGCATGAGACTGTCCCCAGCGTCCTCCTAGGATAGCTGCCTTTTTACTATCAACAGAAATTCATTTGGTGTTTTAATCTTGAAGGTAAAGAGCAGCCTTTGGAGATGGGTGTGCATTCCATGGTAGCAGCTCCACTCTCAGTGTTTGCTAAGGAGTCTACGTCCTCTAGACACAGCGAGCACCATCATCATCATCACCACGAGCACAAGAAGAAGAAGAAGAAGCACAAGCACAAGCACAAGCATAAACACAAGCACGACAGCAAGGACAAGGACAAGGAGCCCTTTGCCTTCTCCAGCCCCGCCAGCGGCAGGTCTGTGCGCTCGCCTTCCCTCTCAGACTGAAGTGTCTGCAGAGCCCTCTCCAGAGTCCCGCCCAGAAGATGGTGTTACTAAAGCCTGGTCCTCCGTGGAGCATGGTGCGAGGGGAAATACAGAGAAGCTGGAGTGCACTGGAGTTCTGGGCATTCAGTTTCTGCTCTTTGTATATCTGGGGTCTAAGGAGGAACTGGTTTTTTTGGTTCTGGATGAACTGTTCCATCCTTTGTTTCTTCCTGAAAACACAGAGTGACTTCTTTTTACAAAAGCCTTCATGTCTCCTGCAGACCCATTCACATGTGGTCTCCTGTGGACTGTAAGGTCAGGTATGCGTGGAAGCCGCTGATGGATGTCATGGGCAAAGGAGCATCAGCAGAAGGAACTGCCAGATCTGTGGTACCCAGCATTTCCATGAAGTGCTGAATAACACCACTTGGCGTTGCTGGAAAGGCAGGCTTTTCTGTAGGACTCAACCCTCTTGGCTGCTCTTCTGTGTAGCCATAGAAAATAAGTATCATCATTTATGAGCTAAGAATCGTATATTTCCTTTTATCCTAAATTACAAAAAGTTTGGAAAGAAATTATTTTTAAAAGCATTTAAAGTAACTATCTTTTGATAGTACATTTGGTGATTTTGATGTTGCAATTTAACAGAACAGTCAGACTCTCCAAAATCAAGATGTTTAAATTACATTTTGTTTTGTCTTCTGTTAAGTATAAAGGAATGTGTTCATATGTAAAATATGTGTTGCTGAATGTGAACAGTTTACATACATAACTCGTATTTTTTTCTAAAATTACCCTGTATATAAGGCCGGCATGGTACTACATGCCTTTAAAACAAGCCAGCCTGAGATACATGAAAATCTGTATCAGAAAAGCAAAGTAATGAAAATTACTATATATAACAAAATATGATGCTTTAAGAAGGTGTGTTTTGTTATTTATCGGCTTGGACATAGATAATTTGACCCATATTGGAGGATACCAGCAACAGTTTAAAAATACATGTGCAGTGTTTTGGTTTCTTATTTTAACAGTTTGTATGGTGGTGTGTTTTGTTTTTGTTATTTTTTTGTTTTTCTGAATTTACCAAGTTCTCTGGTAAATTTTTTTTCATATCTAGTTTTTATCGTTTCCCTTGTTACTAAAATGTTTGACTGAATTCCTATGCTCGGAATAAATATTTCAAAAGGATCCAATAATGCTGGACTTTTAAATAATAAATAACTTTTTTTAAGTTGAATATTCTGCCTTTGTATCAGTTTATCATTTTGTTACCTTCCTGGCAGGTATGTGTACATAATGTGCCAGAGCACATTTGCAAAGAGCTTTGAACAGAGAGGGATTCGAACTGTCCCCAGTAGCAGGGTAATTTCAGTAGACGGAGATGAGGGTAAGGTCTCAGCAGAAGAAACAGTATCTTCAGAGCAAGGGTGTATGGAGATGGATGCTAAAAAGAAATCCCACAGTAGCTCAGAACTGAGTATAATAAAGTATTTATTTAGGGGTAGACTCACAGATCACAGTTCTCTGCCTGAACGGGGAACTGGAACCGAATCCAGCAGCCGGAAGAGAGAGAGAGAGAGCGTGCATGCAAGCTTTAGGGCTCCATTTATAGTATATGATACTATGCCCAAGTGGACTGGTATCTTAAAGGCTATGGGCTGAAGGAATTGCCACAACAGGTATGTACAGGATTTAGAGAGCAGTGAGCGTGACCTGGACTGAGTGTGGTCAAGTGGTGTGTGTTTGAGTTGAGGTCTTACCATGCAGCTCTGGCTCCTTGGAACTCAGTTCATAGACCAGGGAAGGCTTGAACTCATAGAACTCTTGTCTGTGCCTCCCAAGAGCTGGATTAGAGACGTGTACCATCATGTTTAGGCCTGTGATCAGGTGGTAAAGAACCTAAATTACCCTTACTAATTCAAATTAATTGCATGTTAGCCACCTCCAATTTGTTTTGAAAAATGGAAGTTTTATATTACGGTGTACAATAACATGGTGTACACCATAATATAAATTTCGGAACTTTGACATTTCAAAAGAATTTTTTTGTGTCCTGGCTGCAGAGAGTAATACTAGACAATTGCTATCTCCATAAGGCACAGTATTAGGCCTTGGATTCGTCCGTGAAATCGTAAGCCAGTTAGTCAGGCCGGATGCTTCTCCAAAAGAACATTTTGTGGTGACGCCAAATTACTTACGCTGCTGGTTCATAATAGACAGTAAAATGGTTTCTGGTATTGAGAATTGCTAATTATACATGGTCAACATACACTTCAGTGTTTCTGTCTCCTTCCCCAGAGGCATCTTTTTAACAGTGTTTTGTTCTTTTTGAGCTCACGCTTGCACACACTGTAGCTTTTTAAACTCATGATAGCAGATGATTCATACTTGCAGAAATTGTTTAATTTTTTAATTTATTTTATGGTTTCAAAACTTGGTCATAGTAAGAAGGTTTATAATTCTGATTCTAGAAGAATTCTTTTGTTGTTTAGAATACTTTTTACATGTTTTTGTTTTTTCTTTCACCCAGAGAGAATTCCCGTGGAGCTTACTAGTGAAAGGCGCATAGCGATCCAGTTTTCCTTTGCTTCCCGAATGCTACTCAAGACAGTGTATTCAACACTACTATTACATACTAAGTTTCTTTATAAATTCTGCTCTACTTTTAGACTTTGTGGCTCTGTCCACTGTGATGGGTTTTATATGCTAGAGCTGATCTTTATTACTTTTCAGAATGGCTTCATAGGTTTTTTTCTATTTCTTTTTAGCTTGTAATTTACGTATGTAGAATAAATTTATTGTAGTCTGTACTCCTTAGCTTTTTTGTTTGTTGGTTTGTGTTTTGGGAGGTTATTTGTTTGTTCTTTGAGACAGGGTTTCTCTTTGTAATCTTGTCTATCTTGACTTGCTCTGTAGACCAGGCTGTCCTTGAACTCACAGAGATCCACTTGCCTCTGCCTCCTGGAGTGCTGGAATTAATGGTGTGCACCACCACCTCCTGGCATGTACTCTTGAGCTTTAACAGATACTTAGATGGCGTTTCCACCATCACAGCCCCATCACCCTCAAAGTACCCTTCACTCTGCCAGGCATGGTGGTGCATGCCTTTAACCCAGCACTCAGGAGGAGAAGGCTGGTGAATCTCTGTGAGTCTGAGGCCAGCCTGGTCTGCACAGCAATTTCCAAGACAGCCAGGACTGCACAGAGAAATCCTGACTTGAAAAACCAAAAGGAAGCGGGGGGGGGGGGGGGGGGGACNTGACCCACGTCACCTCAAATTATGACTGATTAATTTTCTGTTCTGAGAATTTTACTTTTTGATAAATTACCACTAATTAATTTTCTAACCCTATAATTCTACCTTTTAATATGTATTGGATTTTTGTTGTTTTTATTGAGGTATATATTTTTCTCCGCTTCCTCCTCCCTCCAGTTCTACCCTGTCCCATGATCCCCACGCTCCCAATTTACTCAAGAGCTCTTGTCTTTTTTTACTTATCATGTAGGTTAGATCCATGTATGTCCCTCTTAGGGTCCTCTTTATTCTCTAGGTTCTCTGGGAAGTATTGAATAATTTTTCTAAAAGGTACTCTCACTATAGCACTGACTGTCAACCCTTTAATACAGTTCCTCATGTTGTGGTGACTCCCCAACCATAAAACTACTTTTATTGCTACTTCATAACTGTGATTTTGTTACTGTTATGAATCATTATGCAAATATCTGTGTTTTTCAGTGGTCTTAGGTGACCCCTGAGAAAGGGTTGTTGGGTTTTTTTTTTGGTTTTTTTTTTTTAACCCTCAAAGGATCCATGACCAAGGTTTGAGAACCACTGTACTGCAGCCCTGTCTGACCTGGCACTCATGTAGGTCAAATTGTTTTTGTAGCTGATGTTCAGCAGTAATCTATAATACCTTAATGTGGTTATTCTTATTAGGGATGTTGCTATCACTGTTAATACACTTATTTTAGGAGTCACGATAGGGTAATTTATCATTTACAGTTCTGCAGTGGTTGTACTTGCCCGTGAGCTCACACTTAGGAAGTAGGGCAGGAAGCCTAAGGATACTCTCAGTTACTGAGCAAGTTTGCTGACATTTTAGACCACAGAACAGAAGGGATTCTAATGGAACTCACTTATACTGTATAAATCTTCTTTCTTGTATGAATACTTGAATATTCTTTCCTTTATACTGATTTTGTACTTGGCTTCTGTGCTGATTGCTCATTTGCAACATTCAAAGCCACTATTCGGTAAATAATGGCAATCTTACAGCTTTTTATACTTGTAATTTTCTATTTTCTCCTTTTGTGTGACTTCTTTCTCTTGCTGAATGAGAGCAGCCGAGCTGGCCATCCGCTGGGCTTTGGGCCGCCATTTACCTTCTCTGTACTTGGCAGCCCTTTCTTGTGTGCTGTGGCTTTGAGTTTCACATTTTCCTTTGTTTTGGGGAAACTGGCATTTGCAGCTCTGTTTCTTGATCTTACGGGGATGACTCTTCAAAGAGCAGACAAGCAAGTTGTTGCCACCAGAGTCTCACGGACTGCTTAAAAAGGCCGTGCTAATCCACACTGAAATCCTCGCTGGGGAAAATTCGTTCCCCACTCCCTACTCCTCATCCCTTCTGTCTTCAGTTTTTATTGTCGGTCAGCGAAATCCCCTCAGCTCAAATGTGCGCTAGCACAGAGCTGTTTTCCAGTGCTGGCACCATCGGCTTTTACTGTAGCCTTAGTGGCTTGCTTCCAAAGAATAAAATAAGGAAAAGGAAAAATCGTAAGTTTACCCTCCAGCTTGCTGACAGATCCTGCCTCGCCTGTCCGTGATAAACAGCCGTGATAAGCTGTGCTGATGTGCCTTTCACGGGGCTGGAGGGATGGCTGTGAGGACCTTGGTGCAGTCCCCAGTGCCCACGTGTCCCCACATGGCAGCTCACACCTATCTGAAACTCCAGTTCCGGCCTCCTCAGGCACTGCACATGTGGGAAGCACATACATACTTGCAGGCAAAATACCTGTACATATAAAAATATCTAGATTTTTAAGGGAAAAAAAAGTGTCCTCCAGAACGTGTCGGTGAGAGACACTCTGGGATGAAAACTCATGTTCTCACTCTCTGGAGTGTCGTCATGAGGAAAACGGAAACCGAAGTCGATACCGGTTAATCCTCGAGGCTGAGGCAGTTGTAGGGAGCATGGGGGAAAGGAGGAAATTCAGGGCACCGGAGAGAGGAGCAATGCAATGCGGTATGTCTCCGGTGGTCCTGCAAGAGGAAGAAGACTTTGGTGGGAAAACAGTTGAAATTCAAGTATATTCAGGAGTTCCTTTGATGTCCCAGTGTGCCTGCTGTGGTCCCAGTGCTGGGGTCCCTTCCTTAAAAATTTGCATATTATAGGCTGCCTTCTCCCAGATGATGTTTTTAAAAGGAGGAACTTTGAGATGTGATTAAGGCATGAGAATTGAATCTCCGTGGGGTTAACCTTTTTTTCCCCCAGCCTTTTAGAATCTTTTATTTCATTTATTATTTATTTTACACCCTCACCCCAAGTTTCCCCTTCTCCTCCCATTCCCAGGCACCCTCTACTTCCCCTCTGCCCCTCCCCCATCTACTCCTCTGTTTCTGTTCAGAAAGGGGCAGGCTTCTGCAGTTGTCAATAAAGCAAGGCATCTCAAGCTGCAGTACGGGCCAGGCAAGATTAACCCTAAGAGACCCCAGAAAGCTAGCCTGGTCTCTGATTATGGAGACACAGGAAGAAGGGCCAGCCATTAGCCAGGAAGATCCTGCATTCACCTTGACCTTGAGTCTCCCAGTTTCCACAATGGAAAATAGTATGGTTTTTTGTTGTTGTTGTTGTTGTTGTTTGTAAGTTACCCAGCTCCTTGTAGTAGCTGTGTGGACTAAGTAATTTTGTTCCTTAGGTTTGATAAATGTACTGTTGTAATGTAAGATGTTAACAATAGGGGAAAATAGTTAAAGGTTGTTTAAAGTCTTGTGTGGTGGTTTATGTCTTTAATCCCAGCACTCTCGTGACAAGAGACAGGTGTATCTCTGAGTTCGGGAACAGCTTGGTTTATAGACAGTTCCAGGACAGACAGGACTACACAGAGAAACCCTGTCTCGAGGGGGGAGAAGTGTGTGTGTGTGCATGTGTGTGTGTGTGTTTGCGTGTGTGTGCACAGGCATGCACTGTGGATATTAGAGAATGTCTTACAGCTTCTCCCGTACCATGTGGGTCCTCG